GGGGGGTCTCATTTTATAGATTCCATGTCGGAGAGGACTAATTTAACTTTTTATAATTTCTTCAAAATTAATTTGTGCCTAAAGTCCCATATGAGGTCTGGACAGTGACAGGAGATGCATCCGCTGCTGTCTCTCTTCCTCTTTCCCCCAGCACAGACACAGTCCAGATTTAGAAAACGCTGGCAGATTGTACCACGAGCGAGTTTGTTGGCTCCCACCTCCGGGCTAGGCATGCTTAGTACCGTAAGAGTTTTACAGCACTTGCATTGCAACACAAAATAAGTGCTGAAGATTAGAGGTGTTACAAGAGAGTAACAAACATAAAAAAGGAGGAGAGATAGGACTATAGGTGTTTGATAGGAAAGAAGGAGCAAACCACACCAGAGCACCCGCCAACCACCCACGGGGTAAATGTCTTCATGCATGATAATTACAATTTAATTCTTTTGGGTGTTTTGTGCCTCTATCGATACTAGGCCATATGGTCGCTTTTAAACACAAGGGGGCCCCGAAAAAGGCTGTTTTGAGAAAATCGAAGGTAACGTTTTGGCTCCTTGTTCAGTTTCTTTAAAAGACAATGAGAGATTTCTCTATAGCCAAACAAATATAAACACACCAGAGAAACCAAACTTCTCCCATAGGTACAGCAATGCCCATTTTTGTGTAGATCAAGATTTCTGGAAACCCCCGAAATCTGGGTTAGTTAGCCCTCTTGTCCTTAAAAGCGACCATCATATATATAGCCTATGTACTATCTCTACATCTACATCATTTTTGGATAGGGACTGCTCCGACCCACGACAAACGCTTCCATTTCCACATGATTCAAAAACATTCCTAGTGAACCTACTAGTACTACTACCCATTCCACACTGCAATTTTTTTTTCGTTAGAGTTTTACGGCACTTGCAAAAATATACCGTCATATAAGGGCCGAGGATTAGAGGTGTTACAAGACAAGCGGGAGGCAAACGGCAAAACAAATCACAAGCCTGCTCGCAAGCCTCTAGCGCAAGCCGTCCGCTGCTTTGCAAGCCTTCCAATAACCGAGCAGAATCCAACCCGAGCTACTTTCCAAAGAGGAAATTAACTTGTTAAT